AGCGATCCACCAAACTACCATTGCCCACACCGATGACCACAATGCCACAAAGTTCATCGTGACGGTGCGGAAGGGACTCCATGTGCCATGGAATTAGATTCGGGCTCAATCTACTCTATTATGGACTGGCAGCAACTCAAAAAGTTGAAACCACAAATCTTAAAGAGCCAACTGCAGCCGCTACATGCAAGGCTCGTCGATTTCAGCAGAAACCCCATCGGGGTCCTGGGGAGAGCTTCACTAAGCGTCAGCTACCATGGCTTCAAGGGTGACCTACCCATCACCATCATCAAGGACAGCCACCCGACCCTGCTGGGAGTGGAGTGGTTCGAGCCTCTAGGGCTCTCAATCAGAAGAATCCATCAGATTCGGCAGGATGAACTCGACAAGCTCCTCAAAGAGTTCAAGGACATCTTTGATGGCAGCTTAGGTAAATTTTTGGGGAAACCCATCTCTTTCAATTTAGATACCTCAATCAACCCAATTTGGCTTAAACCTCACAGAGTTCCATTTGCACTTCGGCCTAAGGTAGACGCTCAGTTAGATAAACTAATTGCCCAAGGCATATTGGAACCAATTGATCATGCTGCATGGGAGACCCCCATTGTGACCCCACTGAAGCATGATGGATCTGTGCATATCTGCGCCGACTATAAATGCACCATTAAATGCACAGCAAAGCGCATACCCAGTCCAGTGGTGCAACATCTGTTGCATTCACTCAGGAGTGGGACCATATTTGCAAAACTGGACCTGGCCCAGGCTTACCAGCAACTGCCAGTCGACGAAAAAACTGCAGAGGCTCAGACTATTGTCACCCACTGGGGTGCATTTAAATGCAACCACCTCCAATTTGGAGTCAGCGCAGCCCCTGGCATTTTTCAATCAATGATGGAGCGCCTTCTCCAAGGAATTCCAGGGGTGGTGCCGTACTTTGATGATGTACTAATCTCCGGCACCTCCAGGTCTCAACTCTTGGAACGGCTTAGGCTCACCCTAAAGCGGTTCCAAGAGAAGGGTCTGCTTGTGAGGAGAGACAAGTGCATCATTGGGGTCCAGGAGGTCGAGTTCCTGGGCTATTTAATAGATAGCACTGGCAAACACCCCACCAAATCTAAGGTCAAGGCAATTCATGAAGCTCCGGCCCCCAAAAACAAGCCAGAGCTTCAGGCTTTCTTAGGATTGCTAAATTTCTATAGCGTTTTCCTTAAACAGAAAGCCACGATTGCTGAGCCACTCCATCACCTTCTGGGAAAAGCGGCCCGTTGGAAGTGGGGTAGAGCCGAGGAAACCGCTTTCAAGAACGTCAAGGGGCTCCTATCCTCGGACAGCATGCTGATACAGTACCACGAGACGCTTCTGCTGGTATTGGCCTGCGATCATATGGAGCCCCCCCCATATGGAGTCGGGGCTGTACTCAGCCATCGACTGCCCAACAACACGGAAGCCCCCATCGCCTTCTTCTCTAAGAGTCTGGTGGCAGCTGAGCGCAACTACAGCCAGCTGGACAAGGAAGCCTTGGCCATCATGGCTGGCATCAAGCGCTTCCATGAATACCTCTACAGGAGGGCATTCAAAATCATCATGGACCATAAGCCCCTCCTCGGACTCTTCGCAGGCGACAAACACTGACATACATGTCGCCCAGGACGACGTGCTGGGCCATCTTCCTCGCCGGGTACTCGTACACTCTCACACACAGACCCGGCAAAACCATCAGCAACGCGGATGCTCTCAGTAGGTGCCCAATGCAGGAACCGGTGGAAGACCCCGCATCCACCCTCAGCCTCTTCCACATCGACGGAGACCTCCAGTGCCCAGTATCTTCCACGGATGTGGCAGCCTACATGAAGAAGGAAAAGACCCTCAGGCACGTCATATTCTGGGTCCTGAGGGGTTGGCCAACAGAAAAAGTGGGCAAAGAATTCAGCCCTTTCTTGAGGAAGCAGCAAGAACTCTCAACGATGAAGGGCTGCCTACTCTGGGGCGACAGAGTAGTGATACCGAAACCGCTGCAGAAGAGGACCCTGGAGATCCTTCACAATGGGCATCCGGGCATCGTGAAGATGAAGGCGCTGGCCAGAAGCTACGTCTGGTGGCCTGCCCTGGACAAGGACATTGAGTAATGGGTCTCCAGATGCGCCCCGTGCCAGAAGGTCAGACCAGCGCCAGCACAAGCCCAACCTGCAGAATGGGAGATGCCTAGTGCCCCCTGGTCCCGCATTCACATCGACTTTGCAGGGCCTATGGCAGGCAAATACCTCCTCATCGTAGGGAATGCATGCTCTAAGTGGCTGGAGGTCATCCAAATGCCCACCATCACCACCAAGGCAACCATCCGGGCCCTGCGCAGACTCTTCGCCACCCACGGCATTCCGGACGTCCTGGTGTCGGACAACGGGCCACAGCTCACCGCCAAGCTGATGGAATCGTTCCTGGCCGAGCTGGGCATCCGCCATGCCCTTATTGCCCCATACAGGCCGGCTGGAAATGGACAAGCTGAGAGGATGGTGAGGCTCACCAAGGAAGCTCTCATCAAGATGGACACCGGGGATTGGCAGGAGAGGATCGATAAATTCCTCTTCACGAAGCATATCACCCCGCACGCCACCACACTCAGAAGTCCAGCCGAATTACTCATGGGGAGGAAGCTGAGGACACCATTGGACCGGCTACACCTCCAGTTCAACCCCCAAGAAACAGTGAGCGCAACCCGCTGCCGCGCACCTTCACCGTGGGAGACCCGATATATGCTCTCAACTTCCGTGAGCCTCCGAAGTGGCTGAAGAAAGTGATCAGCAGAACAATGGGCCTGAGGTCATACCAAGTGGAGCTGGGAGACGGGCAGATCGTCAAACACCATGTCGACCAGCTCCAGAAAAGGTGGAGGGAAAGCGGCAGAAACGGCAAAAACCAGCCTGATGAGGTAGGCCTGTGCCACCCCGACAAGGTAGGCTTACCACAACCAGACGAGGTAGGCCTGCGCCACCCCGACGAGGTGGGCCTACAACATCCCACCCAGGTAGACCTACCACACCCAGGCAAGGTAGGCCTACACCACCCAGGCGAGGTAGGCCTGCGCCACCCCAACGCGGTAGACTTACCACAACCCGACGAGGTGGGCCTGCACCACCCCGACAAGGTGGACCTACAACACCCTGTCCAGGTAGACCTACCTCACCCAGATAAGGGAGACCTCTGACACCCCGGCCAGGTTGGGCCACACCAAACCGGCGGAGCGGGCCAACTACCACCACCGGAACACAAGGACCCCCAATGACAATCACGACGGTTACAGCAACAACTGAGACCAACTGACAGCGGACGCCTCTAGTGCCGAAAACCAGCCACAGAGCGAAGGGAAGAGAACCATCAACTTACCGGGTTCCTGGCGTCCAGTCCTAATCAGCGGCGAGTTGTAGTGGCCGAGGCATCGTTCCGAGAACCCAGCCGGAGGTGCTGGGCCGGAGCCCGCACACTCGATGGCCGAGTTCCAGATGGTTCCAAGGCGGGAACCGGGAGGGACAAGAGCCTCGTCTGCACGGGTTGACAGCGAGGCAAGAAGTGATCTGCGCAGGTCAGATAGGACGGGGAGGCACCCCGTCTACCTGTGTGACTACGTCACGTACGTGACCACTGGAGTGATGGACTAAGAACTAGGAAGGGAGGGGTGTTATGTCCGTATATGGGCATTCCCGCCGGATTGGCTAGTCCACCAGCAGGAGATTTGAAGATCTGTCATTGGCCGGCTTGCCTGCTGACTCTCTTTATAAGGCGAGCCCGGTAGCACAGCCGGCTGTTCTGTTTCTCTCTAAATAAAGTGCTGAACGGACCTCTCGCTGCTCGCGTATTCTTTCCCTGCGCCAATCTAACATCTTTCAATCCTAATATTCTTATAATGTATTCATTGTGTTAAGTTAAATAATTATAAGCACAAAATATATCCTTTCCTCTCTCTTCCTGAATCTGAACCATTCTGTTTCTCCAGTTCTGTCAATAGCTTCTTATTTCTTATGCACTTTCCTTGGAAAAAGAATCAGATGTTCTGGCATTTCTACAAGGCATCATCTATTCCACATTCTGGAATGATTTGCACAGTAAAACAAATTAAGCCTGTTGGTTACAAATGTCAAATCCTCTTCCACAACACCCCACACTCTGGTTATAATTTTTTTCTTCTGATGTATTTGTATTCTGAAAAGCATTTAACTAGAAAAAGTTGTATTCACCTATCACATTCAACTAATTTATTCAATGGGCCACTTTTATTGTCCATGCTTTGAAGTTATTTCAAATGTTTTATCTAACATTCCACTACACAGCCCATATAAAGAATTAATTGAAACAAATATTTCCAGATTACTATCAAAAAGAGAAGAGAAAATGTGAGACTCGAAGAATCATAGAGTTAGTACGAGTTAGAAGGTACTTTCAAGGTCACCTCATTGAAGGCTTTAGTAATTATATAGCATCCCCAGTAGATTTGCTTATCAAATTTATACATGCCCATATAGACTCTATTTAAATATATTGATGCTAACTACATAGCATTAATGTTCAAATGTAATAAGCAGGGTTGTGAGATGGCACTAATCACAGGGGAACAGACTTCATTCTTTTCATTCATGGTAAAACACATTTTTGTCATGAGGTAAATAATGATTTCATTCATAATTAATGCTAAGCCATAATGTGATTGGTTTGTTTAAGTCTCAGTATATGTGACTTTGGCTATAATAGCTTAGCATTGTTTGAAGCAGACTATTGGGGTTTTTATTAAAATAGTTAAATATTTTAATATAGAACCACAGCGTGAATTAAACCTATGGGTACCTAAGTAAGGTTCCATATTCTTCCATTTTCATATTGCTTTTAGTGTCAAGATCAAGCCTGTTTTCTCAAATGAAAGGAGCACATCCATGTTCCAACCTATCAAGAAAGGACAAAATGGAAGAAATGAGAGTTACACAGTCCACACACATCCTCCAAAGAGCTCTAGAATCAGCTACATAGGGGAAAATTGGAGCAATATACTGTATTTTTCAGTCTAGAAGACACACTCCCCACCCCCAAAGTGAGTGGAAATGTCTGTGCATCTTACAGAGTGAATGTTGCCAAAGCCCCATTCACTGAACGGCAGTGGTAGCGGCAATAGGTGGCAGTGATAGGCAGCAGCAGCAATTCCCCCGCCTGGAACAGGACACGTGGAGGCCAAAAATGGGATGCGCAGGGGCCAAAAATGGGGTGTGCGGAGGCCGGAAGCGGGGTGTGCAGAGGCCAAAAATGGGGCACGTGGAGACCAAAAATGGGATGTGGGAGGTGGCATAGACAGCAGCGATGGGCAGTGGTGATGGCCAGTGGCGATGGGTGACGGCGATCCCCGCAGCCTGGAAAAGCTGATTGGCGGTATTCCGGGAGGCTGATCCAACTGCCAATCAGCTGATCAGGCCGTTTGCTGCAAGGAGGCAAATTGCTGGGAGGCACAGGCAGATTTTTTTTTCTTGTTTTCCTCCCCAAAAGCTAGGTATGTCTTATGGTTCAGAACATCTTATAGTGCAAAAAATACTGTATTAGGGGAAACAATTCAATGAATTTTGGCATGGCAGCTCCCAGACTGTCTATATGCCATTATTTTCCCAATACCAAGATCTTTTATAAAGATGTAAAAGACTGACAGAATCTTCAGCAGATATACAATATATATGGAGCTAATTGTCTTAGGAATTAATGAAATGTATCCCTGAAAAATATGTATAACATTGCAACTTGAGCATTATTGATAATAATGCATTATTGATTTATTGCAATCAGTACTGAAAGCCAATCTCAGTACTTGCTAATTATATACTTCATTGAAATACATTCTTGAAAACTGAACTAGCTCTTGCTCTTGACCACATCCCAAGAAGTTAGTTTAATAAACCAAAAAAAAAAAAAAAAAGTCATCAAAATTTTCCCTTCTTTTTTATAGGAAGATTTCCTCTGCTCTTCCTTAGCAGTGCCACAGGAAGGATTTGTTTAGATGTTCAAGCAGGAAAATAAAGAGTCTTTCTCCAGTCCTTAGCTGTTTCTCATCCAAAAATCCAGGTGCAGTTTTTCCTTTTTAAAAAACCAAAGTAAGAAAGAAGGGATTTTTTTTTCTTTGAAGAAAATATCAATAATAAATCAAACAGAATAACCTCCTGAAGCTGGATCTCCTTCCAGTCTTAACAGAGCATTTTAGGAAAATATCTAGCTCTATTCAAGCAATTGGCATAAAGAGTAAAGGAAAACCTGTGTGAATGTGGTGGAAGCAGAATATCGTAAACATAGTCCAAGTTGCTTTGAGTGCTGCAGCACGATAGCATTTCTTCCAACACAGGGAAACCACTGATGTTCATCTATAATTAATAGGCCATAATATAAAGTTGCTTAATGATTTCTGCAAATCCCATATGGAAGGAAATCGGCCCAATTTGCACTTCCCAGAATTATGTACAAGTCAAAAGGCAATTATCACTGGGTTGCACAAATTTTGCCACACAATCTTTATTGTTGCTGTTTTAATTATCAGTATAAAAAGTGGTAAATTCCTAGTAAGGAGGTTTCAGCATCAGCTAGATTTTGGAAAGCCATCAGATCCAATGTCCAGACCTGATAGGTGCAGATCTATCTCCTCTTCTACATCACTCACTTACACCCCTCTTGATTCAGATAGAGAAGCCATATAAGGAGGCAGCAATCAGAAGCTTGTTGTTGTTGTTTTACTATGTTGGCTTCATAGTATTCCTCATAGCAGCTGCCTTGCAATATTGATTTCTGGATGCTCTTTGTCCAGGTCTCCTCAAAGATAGGAAATTAAGTCAGGGTCCTACTTCAGCATGTTAATGGTGCTCTGCTGATGGAGGAGACCTGATAGGATGATAAAAGCATGATAAGATGATATATGTTATGGATTTTGCCTTTGCCTTTCCTTTAAAAGGTTCCAGCCAGCTTCTATTAGCCATGAAGCATATTGGCTAACTTTAAATCATTAATTATCTCTCACCATTACTACTTGTCAGGACTTTCATTGGGATAGAAAAGTTGCAGATGATCTTAGGCAGGAGAGGCCAGTGTGCCACCTTGATGATAGTTCTGACAAGTAGTAACAGTGAAAAATAATGACTGTTCCTACAGGGAGGAAAAATGGAAGCTGGATCTTCCTAATCAAAATGCAACTCCAAATCACCCCAGCCAAGGCCATGGAAACATTGCCATGGAAATTATAAACATACAAATCAATTTTATTAGAGTTTATAATTGCAATAATAAAAACTGGAACAAACTAAAAGAAAGAAAGAATAGAGAGAAAGAGTAAAAAGTGCAAAAGAAAAGAAAAAGGTAAAAAGGGGAAGCAAGAAAGATGCAAATACAGTAAAGAAAAAGAAAATATATATTTATATTTCATATTTCTTAACCACCCGTCTCCCTCAAAGAAGTGGCTTCCAACCTTCATCACTATAAACAATTTAAGTAACTTTTCACCTCTTCTTAATTTATAAACAATGATCCCCCCAACTCTTATCTATAAACAAATCCATAAAGCATTGTTATTTCAATCTTGATGTCAACAAAAGTTTATTAAGGGTTTCGAGAAATAAAATGTATCTATTTTAATATTGATCAAATAAGCCAACTTTTTTTTCTTCTAACAATCTTTAGTCTATTTAGGTAATTTCATTTCTTTTTTACCTCTTCTCACAAGACTCATCCAAGCTTTAACAGACCTCTTTTGTAAATCTATATAAAAGAATTATCCAGGTCATTCTCTTGGTTTATTATTTGTAATTCCCTTTTGATTTTTCAAGCATGAACCAAAATCTTTTGTAAGTCCAATGAAACATCATCCAGGGATTCTTTCATTTGTACATCCACTTTCAGTGTCAGTTCTATCTCCGGCTTACTGGATAAAAAAATTATTCTTGTTCTGCCATTTCTTCCAAAATACCTTTGGGATATAGCCTATCTATAGAAACAAACATCTCTATTGACATTGTTGATATTAACTCCCAATTTCATTTTTCAAAAGTATCCTTCAGTATTTCCAATTTTATAATATTTTGCATCATTCTGAAAAATAGCTAATATGTAATTTCCAAATGCAATTAGAAAAGGAAGTATTTAAACGTAGTGTACTTTTAATGGCACTGACCACAATTTGAGCAAAATTGTCTCATCTCACAGTACTCAAAACCCAACAAATCACTGTCTTGTGGTCTTCTCATGAGGAGCAACTTCCTGGAATACTTGTGGATAATCTCTTATTCTGTCTTTGTTTGGAGAGGTTCAAATAGCCGGTCTACTCACCAGCTCTTTGTACTTCATTATGATTGTCAGCTTGGAACTATTTTCAATCCATCATTTTTTCCTTCACAAATCCACAATAAAACTATTTTTAACAAAGATTCTATTTTAAAAAATAAATATTCATATCTCCCTTAAATTGTGTCTGCACCTCCCCAAATGAGTCACATCTCACAATTTGGGAAGCCCTGGTATAGATGAAATATGAACCAGGACTAATTCTACCTAGGCCAGAAAACTTTGAAAGGTAAAGTCTCCTTCAGATTAAATCATAACTTTTGGTGACTTCACATGTGCTGATAATACCATAATAGTAGCTTGCCACTGCCTTGTTCCAGGTTTTTCTAGCCTAGCTTACTATCCTGGTATTCTTTTGTGGTCTCCCACTAAGTATTGGCCAGATCTGACCATACTTAGCTTTTCAAGATCAACCAAGATTGACAAGGTGCTTTGTGGATCAGAGGTAGATAATCTTTTGACAGCTTCTTGACTCGTTTGCATTTTCATGTATCTGAATCCTTCAACAGTACTGCAGATGGAATTTGGTGAAAAGTGTTTGAGAATCATTGGAAAATATTATTTTAATATTATTTTATTTAAATCTACGTTAAACCTATTTGGGCTTCTTGAACATCTCTTAGTTCACAATGACAAGAAACTATGCCCACAATTTAAAAAAAAAAAAAAACAGTCCGAGATTATTCTAGGGGTCAAGAAAATGGTTCAGTGCACTGAACATGCACTGAAAGCATTTGACAATGTTCTATTTATTTTGGAATCCTGGCCAATAAGTCATGGAATTTTAACTTAATATTTCTATGGGCCCTATGGAAAACAAAAGGGGACAGAGATAAATTGAGGGCCAAAATCGGAGGCCAGCTGTTTGTATTGAATGACAAATCAAGTCCACCATAAAGTGAGTTAAGCAGTCCCTAATAGTGGCACAAATATCTGAAAACAGAGAGCATAAAATGAGAATAGAAATTAGAACTCGACCAGGGATAAAACTCATCCATCAGTTGCTGAGTAATGGCCACACAGCTAATTGGAATTCTACTCATTTTAATCCTCTTTTCAGAACCACACCACGATTGTTTAATAGAAACAATTATAAAATGCAAATACCAAAGAGCTGCAAATACCATGTAGGCAATTTATAATTTCCTGAAAGAAATGCTGGGCACTTTGCACAAATACTGTTCTTGATGTCCATCTTCCTCTCCATTGATTTTGGATTAGGTAAACTACTCACATGGACATGGCACAAAGAGCTTCATTCCATGACTGAATTGCGGGGCCCAAAACGTAAATCGAGCTTAGCCCTTTTGAATGGAACATCAGGAGACAATGAAAGAGAAGCACAAGAAGCCTTTTAAAATACCTGCAAAGCTTTTGATTTTGCCTCTAGTTTTATCTGTGGATGAACAGAGGGCTGTAGCTGAATTCCCAGGGTGGTTCCTTTATGTTCATTCAATAGCAGATGATAGTGAGGGATTAACCGGGGCAGAAGAAAAAGGAATGGCACACAGGAGGGCCTGGCAAATTCCCAGATGTTGGAGTTTGGGTTCTCCGCCCCTACTTACCCCCCACCAAACTACACTAAGCATCTAACCACTCTCCCAGTTACTTTACAAGAGAAGAAAAGCATTGTTTAAATTTCTATTTCTTCCCTCCATTGCCTTATACATTAAAAACAAGGATCAGCATATTTTCCCTCCAAATTGGGAGGGTGAAATCTTCCTAAAAGGAAGGAAGATTCCACTGAGGAAAATGCCAGCACAAGCTTACCTATTCTACTGAAACCAATATGGTTTATAATACCCAATCCAACTCATAACCCCCAAACTGCTTTAGACTAAGGCAGACCATTTGTTTATCTAACTCAGTATTGTTCACACTGATTGGCAATAGCTCTCAATGGGTTTCAAGCAAGATTTTTTTTTCCTAGAATTTTGAGGGATTGGACTTGGGACTTTTGGCAAACAGAACATGTGCTTTATGGATCAACCCCAGCTGCTCATGTCTCTATTTCCTCTGTTCCTGTCCAGGCATCTTTCTTTTCCAGTTTCTCTGCAGTTTAATAATCAAGACAGAATAAATATTGAAAACACAACCTATAATAAATGGCCTTTTCTACCTGTAAACCAGGGATGAAATCCAAAATTTTTCCCTACCGATTCTGTGGGCGTGGCTTGGTGGGCATGGCAGGGGAATGATACTGCAAAATCTCCATTCCTTCCTCTCCTGGGGGAAGGATATTGAAAAATCTCCATTCCCACCTCACTCTGTAGCCAGCCAGAGGTGGTATTTGCCGGTTCTCTGAAGTATTCAAAATTTCCGCTACTGGTTCTCCAGAACCTGTTAGAACCTGCTGGATTTCACCCCTGCTGTAAGTGCATGCTACAACTTAATCCTGTAGCATCCCACTATCCCACATTTGATGGAAACAGTTGGACTAGTCAATGTGTCATCTCCCATCATCATTGTGTGAGTAATTTGAAAGAGCTGTTGCCAGTTAGGATTCAACCCCCTTCCGTTGTACCACTTTCGATTAGCTATTTATAACCACATATCCCATTCATTCTTCCATGTATTCCACACTTCAGTTAGCTGATTCAACCTTCCTTCTTTATTTAGGCTAAACAAGTACAAAATGAGGCAAGAATCGCATCCTTTTAAATGTTTTTGCTTTCCATGGCATGGTGCAGTGGAGATGTGAAAACTGCAAATGTTGAACCTCTCTCTCCAATCCACTAGTTTCT